ATTTTTTATAATTTTTTATAATTTTTTATAATTTTTTTATAATTTTTTATAATTTTTTATAATTTTTTATAATTTTTTATAATTTTTTTATAATTCTTTTTAATTATTTATAAGTTTTTATAATTTTTTATAATTTTTTATAATTTTTTATTATTTTTTATAATTATTTATAAGTTTTTATAATTTTTTATAATTTTTTATAATTTTTTATAATTTTTTATAATTTTTTACAATTTTTTATAATTTTTTATAATTTTTTATAATTTTTTATAATTTTTTATAATTTTTTATAATTTTTTTATAATTTTTATAATTTTTTAAAATTTTTTATAATTTTTTATAATTTTTATAATTTTTTATAATTTTTTATAATTTTTTATAATTTTTTTATAATTTTTTATAATTTTTTAAAATTTTTTATAATTTTTTATAATTTTTTATAATTTTTTATAATTTTTTTATAATATTTTATAATTTTTTATAATTTTTTATAATTTTTTATAATTTTTTATAATTTTTTATAATTTTTTATAATTTTTTATAGTTTTTTATAATTTTTTATAATTTTTTATAATTTTTTATAATTTTTATAATTTTTTATAATTTTTTATAATTTTTTACAATTCTTTATAATTTTTTATAATTTTTTATAATTTTTTATAATTTTTTATAATTTTTTATAATTTTTTATAATTTTTTATAATTTTTTATAATTTTTTATAATTTTTTATAATTTTTTATAATTTTTTATAATTTTTTAGAATTTTTTTGATATTCTATAATTTTTTATAATTTTTCTCGATTTTTCGAGTCATGTTAAATAGGATTTCGGGCTCCTGCAAAACATCATACCGCCCGACAAGAAGTATTCACTTCAAAATGTGTTTAATATTCTGTATTTCCTTCAGCAATATTAATTACAGTTTAACAGCTCCTTGGTATTCTTAAAACTAAATTATTAATTTCGTAATTACTATATGCTACTATACGCAAAAGATCAGGAGTAGCAGACGTTATTGAAAGGATAACAACACTAAAGTGGAACTGGGCAGGTCATGTAGCAAGATCAGTTGATGACTGGTGGACAAAAAGAATTTTGGAATGGAGACCCCGAATACAAGCTTACAGAAATAGAGGTCGACCCCCAACGAGATGGACAGATGACATAAAAAGAGTGACTACAAATTGGATTCAGATGGCGCAAAATCGGACTAAGTGAAAAGCATGCGAGAGGCCTATGTTCAGCAGTGGGCGTTAGAGGCTAGTAGATGAATTTCGTTTTGAAGCAATGGGATCCATTCTTGTTTAAGAAGGTCTTGAAGATCTTGTCTAGTATAAATATTCTACAGATTAGAAGCAATCTGTATGAAGCACACCCATATATGCTCGATGGCATTAAGATCTGGCGATTGTCCCGATAATAGTAACGGTGTAATATCTTCATTATGAAACCTATCTCTTACTGTTGCTGCAATATGTGGCCTTACATTATCGTCCATGTAACGCAAATCTTTACCTACAACAGTGACAAATTGAAGGACAAGTCCTAAGATACAATCAATATATTGAGATTGATTCAAAGTGATTTCTACAAAAACAGGAACAATTCGATGATAAAACATTGTTTCAGCCCTCATGGACGAACACTATGTACATGCCTGAGTCTCTCTTGTCGACCAGGTCCTCTCCAAACTCTCAATTTTCTTTAATCATAGTCGAGACAAAACTTAGCTTCATCTGTGAATACCACAAAACTCCATTCTTGTAAGCCTCACTGCACGTGTTCTTGTGCCCAGCTTAATCTTAAGTCCACGATTTCCATGACGGAACATGCGATCCCTTAATGGACACCTAGCGTGCAGGTCAGTTTCATGTATTCTATTCCTCAAAGTTTGGTCAAATACAGTAATGTTGTGTGTATTTTCTAAGGTCCTATAATATGATGCTGTAACTAGATCTGTAAATAATTTCGGATTCGTTGTTCACTGCCAATATTTTTATAATTGTAGAATTCATAACGTTGGAAGTACCCCTCGTCTTGAGAATATTTATAATCCAGTCGTTCAGCAAAGTAAAGAAGCACACAAATGTATAGAAATTCTCCATACAATTGAATTTTGCCCAAATGTTCAGCAAAAAGATGCTAATGATGGAATATTAATGTACTCTGCTGCTGGATACTTGGTATGAATAGCATTATTTTTTTTATTAATAGCAAATTGAACTGGCAATTAATAACTAGATAATAAAATGTAAACAATTTAAGTTTAAAAAATTATTTTTATTTATTTGACTAGATAATAAAAATTATAGAAAAATAAATAAATAAAATTGTTTTTAGTAATTTTATAAATTTTATATTTTAGGTTTTAATTTGGAAAATATTTGCTGGGCTTAAATACAAAGATTTTGAACACATGGATATACTTATGAAGAACATTCAATTCTACTCCGCTCCAGTTGTAGTACAACACCTTTCTCTAATAATAAATATTAATAAGGAAACCGGCTATTTCAAAATTTCGAAAGGAAATCTACTTATCGTAACAGGAAAAGTATTAATGATGAAAGATTCAAATCAAAATATTTCGGATAAATCATTATCTATGATATTTGAGCAAGAAAATTCTAGATTGTCCACATCTTTAAAACGTAATAGCTACCTATTAGACTCTAAATATGATTTGATTGATTGCAATAATGAATGTGAACAATTTTAATGAAAATAGAAATTATACATTTGAATGGAATAATAATTGGATTAGTTTTATTGATTCGATGATTCGAATATTTACCTTAGATAAGCCGGGATATACACTATTTCCCCAAAAAATTGGGACGTGTTGTTTTAATCCGCAGACACTTTTGATGACAGTTAATAAATCAGTTAAAAATGCAAGTAAGTACTTTTGAAATTAAAATATTAATAAACCAGAAACAACTTCTTCTTCCTCAGCTTTTCCCGTTCAGGAATGGTTACTATTGATCGCCATTTATCATGCATCCATCGTATCATCTTCATTTAAATGCTTTATCATAAAACCTGCAATCCTGGCAGTCTCAAAAAATATCCAAGAACAAACACTGCAATATCACTCGTAGAGATGAAACTATCTGGGATGGAGGAAAAGAAGATGGAAAGACTGTGTGGCTGAGAACTTAAGACAGAAAGGTTTAGGTGAAGGGGACCGGATGGACAGAAATGAATGGCGATCCCAGAAAAGGAAAAAGTTGAGGTAGAGGAAGAAGAAATAATCATTTTGGTTCTTTTGTCTAATGATTTTGATGTCATAAATCTTTTATTATCATAGTATGTACGATTTACACTGGAAACACATGCAATAATTTTGCTATTTACTTTTACCTTTTGATTAATCTCTGTTCCCAAAATAGATAACAACATCCACACGTTTGATGGTATAGTTGTCTATTGCGATATTATTTTCATTGTCACGTGTTCTTTTGACTGTCTTGTATTTGGTTTTTGTTTCACTTATTTTAAGCCCTCTTTTTTGTGATTCGGGATCAATTTCCCTGAATATTTCTATTAGTTGTTACTTGCTCCTGCTAGCAATAACTACATCATCTGCACAAACAGAAATTTATACCGATTTGATATTTATCTAGCCTGTTACAATGATTTTTCTAATCAGAGATCTATAATACCATACCTCCAAAGTCTCGTGCGGATGCATAGTTGCCACCTTCTTAGGGATCCTGTCTGTTCCGAACGTTAGCGATCATTCTGGCTATGATGACCGTAGTTTCTCATTGTCTGTCCATGGTATCTTCAGGATCCTTCTGTATAACCATAGCTTAAAAGCCTGAAGTTTTGATAGAGTTTCCGCCTCCAATGTCCACGTTTCTACTACGTACAGAAGCACTGAGTACACATAACATTTAAGGATCCTTATTTTTGTTTCTAGAGTGAGGTCATGGCTCTTGAACACAGAGCTCATAGTTAATAATGCACTTTTGCATTCCCCATGTGACATTTTTACTCTCTTAGGTATTGTCCCTCGCTCACTGATTATAGTTCCCAAGTAATTATACTGTGAGACACGTTCAATGCTTATTTGGTCCATATACAGATTTACTCCAGTTATGTTTTCCTTGCTGATGATCATTAGCTTGGATTTGCTGTGTTTATATCCAGTCTATATTTTATGTTCTACTTGTTTCCGTTATTTTGTTCATTAAGTTTTGCAAACCTTTAATGGTATTGGAAAACACTATTGTATCATTTGCATACCGCAGGTTATTGAACTTAACTCCATTTATTGAGATGCCTTAATCAATATCTTTTAGAGCCTCTTCAAAAATGTGCTCCGAGTGCAGATTGAATATCTGTGGTGAAATTATGCACCCCTGTCTCACTCTCCTTAAGATTTTGACCTGATCTGTATATTCTCCATCTATTCGGAGCACTGCTGATTGATTCCAATACAGGTGAGCTATTATTTTTAGGTGTCTTCCGTCAATCCCTGTCCTCTTTGGTAGAGTAGTACTGTGAATATGTAGCATTTTATTCTAGACATCATTTTTGTTCTTAATGTTATGTCTTGGTCTTATTGTGTTTGGTTGTTTTAATTTCTGTTGAATGATTCCATTGCGTATTTAGATTGGTGCTAAGATATCTATCTATAATGCTGGACTTGTTCGATCTTCTGTTGCGTAATCATCTTAGACGTCATTAGACAGAGATACAGGGACTTCTTTCCAGACACTTTATTGCACCAGTCAGTCTCTTTGTATGATATGTCTATGATGTAAACACCAAAGTTGTAGATCTTTTTATTGCCTACAATTTGCTAATTGACTTTTTCCATAGTTTGTAATTTTGCCGAAAATCATTATAAACCGTTTTTACCCTTAAAAACTCCACTCACCTTCTTCTGACCTCCACACAATCTTCCACTTTCTAGCCTCAAATTATTTCTCGTTATTAATTATACGTTATATACATTAATATACGTTATTAATATTGTATTTTGTTGTAGAAATTCCAGTGCACAAATATGGTCCAAATATAAAATCACCAGGAATAGAAATTACCGGAATCAAATTTGGGTTATCAAAAGACTTACCTACATCATATAAACATAAATTGTGATTGTTTTTGTATGCTAAGTATCTTATAGTTTTTAATATTTTCTAACTTTTATATATATTTTTTTACAAATTTTATTGTTTTTAAAATGACGAAAATAAACCTTTTAACCAAGTAGTTGTTTGAAGCAGTGTATAAAATTCTCACTTTAGATATCAAATTTCCCAATTTGATTTGATTTCCCAAAAATCCCATAGATCTATAAGTTTGCTGCTGATTCTATAAAAGTTATTCGAAAAACTTTGGCTGACCACCAATTTGGCTTCAGGTTAAAGCATGGGACAATTGTACAAGTCCACAGAATAGCAAAAAAAATCCCCTACGCGCTGAAAAGTAAATCATACCTCTAAACAGCCTTCCTAAACGTCATTCAGCCTTCGATCTTTCAAAGTAGGCATATGAATGCCTACTTTATAATATTATAAAGAAACAATTTCCAAATTCTATCTTTTCACTCCTACAATCCAATCCTAACTATCAGATAGACACTTCCTGGTAAAGAAGCACGATGAATACACCCAGCTCCACCATATCAAAGCAAGTGTTCCACAAGGAAGCGTACTAGGACCTAGTTTATTCCTAATGTACACTGCAGACCTCTCATCCAGCAGCAACACAGAGGTTGTTGCAGACAACACGTTGCAGACAACACCGCAATACTAGCCACAAAAGTATCAGAAAATTTACAAGAAACTCTAAATAAAATAAAAACTCAATGGCATGCAATTAAGTAATGCAAAGGACAGAAAATACTTAATTATCCAGCTTGACAGACGACTAACCTTGCAGAAGTACATCTTTACCAAAAGAAAACAACTTGGCATTCAATTTCGACATATTTACTGTTTATTGGTCGATACTCTTAATTAACATAGGATAACAAACTGCTTATATACAAGGCGATGATCAAGCCCATATAGACATATGGTATTTAGCTATGGGCACCGCTAACAATTTTGATCTTGTAATCCTCCAACGCTTTCAGAATAAGTGCTTAAGTCTATGGTAAATGCTCCATGGTATGGTACATCCTCCTCTATAGAAAAAGATCTGGAAGAAAAAAAGGTATAACACGTTACAGTGTCTCAATATTGTACATTTTGGAATATTGACAAAGACAAGGATTACCTGCCGAAACGTTTATTTAAATAGAATAATCAAATCTAACTCCAAATTTACCATTACTTTTTGAACTTAAAATCGAGAAAAACTGATTTTATATTAAATATAGTATTTTTATTCGAGTAGATTCGAATCCATTAAACTTAATTAATTTACTACGTTCGTATTTGTTTTACATCGTCCACACCCTGTACAATATATACATAAAATATACAACGTATAAACAGTGTGTAGAACGTATGAAACAAATTGAAAGATCCGTTTAAAGCATACACAAACAAAGAAATATCCTTTTGTACTTCAATCAAGTCTGCGGTTATTACTGCTATTCACAGGTACATTGAAACCACGACCAGCACTTAAGTATAATTTATTTTCTAAAGAAATTTCACTTGTTTTATTTTTTCTTGATATAATTTAAAAATTATTATTTAAACACAGGTCAAAATAAGTAAGCAGAAAAGCAGTCTTTTAAAAAATAGTATCTGAATATCATATACCTACTGACTGATCACTAACTTTTTTAAGAAATAGTCGCATTCACCATTTTCACTATTCGCTCTAGGTTACCTGATATACCTAGAGTACAATGGGTTTATATTAAATATTAAAAAAGTGTTTGGTTTAGTGTGTCTTTAGGTGGAGTATTTTGGACAGTCTGTTAGGAAGTATTGTATATTATTCAACAAATTAGAATTAGAAATTTCTAATGTCTGCTATTAGAAAAGTAATGAGTCTGGGTATATCTACAATGATTTTGAACGTACATGAAACTTGGTCTCGTGTTGCCACGGTTATTATATCCAATGGGTTGTGAATACAATAGGTTGTTCTGTGGAAAGGACAGGGTTCATTGTGGAAAGGACAAGGACATTGTAGTAACGTAGAACAAATAGAAGAAACAAAATTCAGTGTCTGATTATTAATACTATAGCTTGTTTCAATTCTATTGACTTTACGAGAAAAGCTTATAAAAGAACATTTTTTTCTATCTATAACTTTCCAAAATTTCAACATTAGACATTTGCTATTTAGAAAACAGGAAGTGATATCGTTAATGAAGTTAACGAAGATATTAAAAAGAAGTGGATAAGTGTGGCCCCCTTTGAGGAGCTTCTCAAGACTTATTACTGAAATACTGTCAGATATGTGACAACCTATCTTGACTCTTTGACTTCTACCATACGTAGAGTTTTTAATCCATTCAACAAACCTGACATGAAAGCTTACATTAATTAATTTTCTCAAAAGTATTTGGTGATCTACACGATCAAATGCATTGGAAAAATCTGTGTGTATTGCATCTACCTGTTTACGGTGTTCCATTTGAGATAATATATCAGATTGATAGGAAACCAAATTTGTTGCAGTGGATTTTTTGCTATGAAATTCATGTTGTGGTTAAGATATTAAGCCTTTAAATAACCAAGAAACTTGCTTTGTTATAAGACAGTCGAAGAGCTTAGGGATTGCAGATTGTATAGAAATCATCATCAACACTGGCTCGACAACCCTTTTTGGGTCTTGGCCTGTCCAAGGATTCTTCTCCATTCTGACCTGTTTTGTGCTTTTTTTCCAGTTTTTAATTTTTAATGTTGTTATATCATTTTCTATTTGTTCTACGTATCTCAGCTTCGGTCTTCCTCTTGTTCTTTTTCCTACTGGCACTTGTTTGAATATTTTGTTTGGTATTTCGCCTTCTTCCATTCTTTCCACATGTCCAATCCAACGTAGCCTTCCTATTTTAATAAATGTTATGATATCCGGATCCTGGTATATGTTGTATAGTTAGTTCAAAGTTATACCTTCTCCGCCAAATCCCGTTTTCTTTTGTGCCCTTATATATGTGTCGCAAGATTTTTCTTTCAAAGGTAGCTAATAACGTTTCCTCCCTTTTAGAGAGTGTTCAGGTTTCTGAACCGTATGTGAGTACCGGTCTTATTAAGGTTTTGTATATTTAGCATTTTGTTTTTCTGGAGACGTTATCTGATCTTAGTTGCCTAATTAAGCCATGGTAACATTTTATTGGCAATAAATATTCTCCTCTTCACTTCCTCTGCAACGTTGTTATCAGACGTAACTAGGGATCCTAAGTATGTAAAGTTTTTTACCGCCTCAATGTTGTATTCTCCTATTGTTAAATTTGGCAGCTGCCTTATTTGTGCGTTTTTATTTGCAGGTATATATTTTGTTTTTGTCTGATTGATTTAATACCACTATTTTTTGCAGCTCGTTGTATTTGAGTGAATGCCTCTATCATTTCTCTTTTTGATCTTGCGATTATGTCAACATCATCTGCAAATGCTAGTATTTGCACGCTTTTATTAATTATTGTTCTTCGGGTATTAACTGTTGTGTCTCTTATTATTTTTTCAAGTATGATGTTGAATAATATGCATGATAGAGCGTCTCCCTGGCGTAGTCCCTTCTTCACATCTATTGTTTCCGTTAATTCGTTTTCTATCCGGATTTTACTTTCTACTTTTAGTGTTTCTTTTATCAATTCTATTAGCTGTGTTGGTATATTAAATTCTTTCATTGCTTTTGTTAGGAATTCTCAGTTTATATTGTCATATGCGCTTTCGAAGTCTATGAAGAGATGATGTGTGTCGATGTTATATTCACTTGTTTTTTCAAGGATCTGTCGCAGAACAAATATCTGGTCTATTGTTGACTTCTGTCTACAGAAGCCACATTGGTATTTGCCAACTATTTTTTCAGCGTATGGTCTTGAAAAGTATTTCATACATTTCAACAGCGTGATTCCACGGTAGTTTTCACATTCTAACTGGTTTCCTTTTTTATGTAGTGGTACAATAATGCCGCTATTCCACTCCTTTGGTAGCTGTTTATTCAACCATATCTTTCTTATCAGCTCATGTATCGCTTTAAGTAATGCGTCTCCTCCTTCTTTCAGTAGCTCCGATGGTATTTGATCCGATCCCGGTGATTTATTGTTCACTTGTTGTTAATTTGTCCACTGCTGTTATAATCTCTGCTATTGTTGGTGGACTCTTTTCTCTGTTGTCTGCTTGGTCTAATGGTATATCAGGGTTCATCTCCGTCCTATTTACCCCAAACTTTTCCTTAAAATGTTCTGTCCATCTTCTAAGTATCTCTTGCTGTTCTGTCAATATATTACCCTCCTTATCTTTACACATCGTTGTTCTCGGTTTGAACTCTTTTCTGCTTTTGTTGAGTTTCTGGTAAAATTGTCTTGTCTCTGTTGGTTTACTTAGTTCTTGTAGTTCTTGAAGTTCTTTGTTGATATATTCTCTCTTCTTTCTTCGGTGAATTTTCTTTTCTTCTTTACGTAGTTGTTTATATTCTTCCTCTGCTTGTCGGTTCTGTGCTCCTGTTGCATCTGTAGATATGCTCTGTTTTTTCTTTCTGTTATAGTTTGACATTCTTCGTCAAACCAGTGATTCGTTCTTGTTCTTTTTTCTTTACCTTCCATGCCCAACACCTCTTTAGCTGTTTCTTTTATGATTTCTCTGCACTCTTCCCACTCCTCATTTAGGTTTTCATGTTTTGGTCTGTTTTCTAGTTTGATGCTTATATTTTCTTTGTACTCTCTATTTTTGTTTGTTTCTTTGAGTCCTTCTGTTTGATTGTATAGAAATGCTACGATAATTTTTAATGTTGTCTTTCTGAGCATTTTTAAATATAGGAACAATATAACTTTCTTTCCATGAAAAGAGAAACATAGAGGTTTCCAGAGCTCTATTAAACAATATAACAGATGACATTACAAGGGTACAGACACACTTTTTTAATAAAAAATTAGGTACTCCATCTGGACCAGCAGTAAGCTTATTGGGCAGCTCATTTATGCCATTAAAAACATCGGTCATGGAATCTTAGAAGTACAAATATTTGTA